CACTAGTTGTTATACCTACAACCCAGACTACAAAGTTGCTTATTTAAACCTTCTAATTATATTTTCTACTTCCACAAATAGAGAATCCCTAATAATGACTTATATACAACCTTTAGAACTAATTTATTCTCAGAGACAAATTCTGCTAGATTAGTATGTGTTCCACATACAGACAGCTATCTAGACTTTCATTAACTTACACTATAGCTTTACCCATATATTTGGTAGTTATTCACTCCTACCATTACTTACTCCTTGCCCTTGTAAGATTCACACAACCCCAGTACACACAATCAGACTTTTCCTTTTTCTCGAATTCTTTACCAGTCACTCCCTTACTTCCAGCCTGCAATCTGGAAGAGTTGATCTGCCCAGGCTTTATGTATCTATAGGCTCCCTCCCCTTGGTACATGCTTCCAGAGCACATGTCCTTTTTTTTTTAGTTTTTGGTGATCTAGCGGTTCAGCTGGTGTGTCCCCTACTAAAAGATCTAGTCACTTGGTTCTCTGATCATAGTTTTTGGTTCCAAATTTGGTTTTCCTGTAGTACTATCAAAAGTTGTACTACCTCTTGACTCAGAACTTGCCAAATAGGTTTTTAGTTATTCTGGTTTCTTGGATTTATTGTGCCAAAGCTCCTATTATAGATGGGTGATCAAGATTACAGATTAAGATTTAACCAATAATGATAGCCATTAACCATAACACAGGGCTATTTTTTGAAAGCATCATCCTTGGGTTCAAACTCTAGACCTACTGTCTGGGATGTGACAACATATCTAATCACACTTTTCAAACTGAACTACATACAAACCTGTTAATAAAACTATCTTTAACAGCTCTTGGCAACAACAATATCAACTACTTTCTCATATTAACTCTAAATAGTATATACTACTCACTAGCTTTATAACTGAAGATGAAGTCCTTCAAACTATTTCCAAGCTTCCTAATAGCAAAGCCTGTGGCCCTACCAGTATTAGCTATGAAATGATTAAGCACTTGAACCAATACTGCATCATGGCTTTTACTACACATTTTAACTATTGCTTATTCCAAAATACAATACCCAAGCTATGGAAACATGGCAAAATATGTTCCATCCCCAAAACAATATATTTAATAAAAACATTACCTTATATAACTAATTAGCCTTATTGAACATATTAGAAAAATATACACCAAAATTCTAACGAACAGACTTAACCAAGTCTTCTTCCAATATTCTATCCTTTCACCTTTTAATTATGTTGCTCTACCAGGCAATAGTATATCTATCTCTATCTATATCCTTAACAATCTTATTAATGATGCTAACTGTAATCATAAAGTGCTTTGGCTACTATTGCAAGATATAAGCAAGGCTTACGATTCAGTTAACTTTAACCTCTTTAGACAATCTCTCTGCTGCCTTTTCTTATCCAAACTATCATCAACATTCTTACTAATTTACTCATTAACTACCATAATGAAGTTATAACCAACTTTGGACTAACTTCTTTATATCAAGTTCAAAATGATATCGATTAAAGGAAGACTATTACCCTCTTGCTCTGGCATATATATTATGACCTACTTATTATGCATATACACTCTATCTTTACTAGCTATACAAAGGTTTTATCATAAAATCCTAAAAGCCATTTTCCCAAAAGGACATAATACCAACTAAATTGGCTAGCATTATAACTAATACCGGCTAACTTTGCTAGAATAGGTTCTTTTGGGAATATGTCTTTCAGAATTTTGTGGTAAAACCCTATACAACTTCAATATTATAGCCAACCAATCTCAAAAACTACTTATTTAACAAACTTGAAACCAACTATTCTGTCTTGGCCTATATGGATGACACTTTATGAATTGAATTAAGTTAAACAGAGCTAACAAACATTCTCACTATTGCTGAATCTTTTTACAACATGGCAAATATTCAAGTTAACTTATCCAAATCTATTCTATTCTCTAATACCAAATCTAACTTATACAACCCTATTATATACAACAATATAATACTTCCTCTCTGGCCTATATATTAGTCTTTTAAATTTTGGTTCATATTCAATAACAAACATACTAAACAATCTTAACTTATCCTGGCTAAATCATCTTAACTTACCAAAATTGCTAGCACCAAACAAATAACTGACACTTAAGCTTATTAAATTATCTCTTAATTTGTAGAGCAGGCAAATTTGCCTGCTAAAATTAAAAAAAATACTAATTTTTTAATAAAATATAAACTACTAATTTTAATAATATAGTTATTATATAAATATTTTAAATTAATATTTATTTTATTAATTTATTAAAAAAAAATTTTAGTTTATAAAAAAAATTTATAAGAAATAAATTTCAAAAAATAACGATTTAAAAATATAGTAAATTTAATAACGATAAATGATCTTCTAAATAAATTTGTTAATTAGATTAACCAATCAAATTTAATTTACAATTAAAATAATAATTAACTGTAGAGCAGGCAAATTTGCCTGCTAGTTTAACTAATTAAATTTAATTTATAATCAAAATGATGTTCACCTATAGAGCAGGCAAATTTGTTTGCTAGTTTAACCAATTAAATTTAATTCATAATCGAAATGATGTTCAATTGTAGAGCAGGCAAATTTGCCTGCTAGTTTAACCAATCAAATTTAATTCATAATCAAAATGATATTCAATTGTAGAGCAGGCAAATTTGCCTGCTAATTTAATTTGTGATACATACATTAAACAAGCAAATTTCTTGTTAATACTAATTAAATATATCTATTAATAATACTATAATAATTAAATCTTTGATTTTTTTAATTTTTTTTTTTTTACTATTAGTTTTTTAAAAATAAATGAAATACAAGATAGTTTTTATTTTTGCTCTTTTACTAGAAATCAAAGTTTAATTGATACTCATATATTTGAAGATAATTTTGAAGAAAATAATAATACAGAAATTATTCAAGACAGATTAGATTTTTCTCATATAGGCTCATCTAATTTTTTACCTTTCAACATAGTTATTCATTACATTAGTCTCAATTAAATTTAACTGAGGATCTAGAATTAAAAATTTGATTTTACAATATTTTTCTTAAATTTTTTTCTAATAATCAAATGGAAACTATTGTAAAAAATACAAATCTTTATGCTTATATACAGGGTACAAAAAAAGGAAGTAATATGGCTGGTAAAAATCGAAGTTGGACAGAATTAACAATTCAAGAATTAAAAATATAGATGGCTTTAACAATTTATATGAGAATTTTTTAGTTTCTAGCCATTGAAGATTATTGAAAAAAGGATATATATTATCTATCACATGAAGTAATCAATTTTATGTTCTTGTTTTGATTTCAAAAGATAAGTTTTTATTTATAAATTTCTAATTTTAATTATTTTTATTTATTAAAATTTTTAAGCTTTTGCATTAAGTGATATATACATATTTCGGATTGTACTCAAATTCCAAAAGCTGATATATTTATGAAGCTTGAGCCTCTTGTATCACATGTTCATAATATATCAAAAAAGCTTTACATACCTGCATCTAATATATTAATTGATGAGATGATTGCTTGATTTTTGGGATGTAGTGCTTATACTTTTAGAATTAAAAATAAACCTACTCTGGAAGGCTATAAAATTCTATCTTCAAGTGAATCTGGTTAACATATTCTTTTATGTTTATGTCAAGAATCAAGCTTTCAAGTATCAATTTAATTCCTAATATTAATAAAATTAGATCTGAAGTTTATTCTTTAATAAAACAACTACCACCTAACAAAGCATTTAATATTTTCATAGACAATTATTTTTCAAGTATTAATTTGTTTAGTTTTCTTCATAATGATAGTTATGGAGCATGCGGAACAGTTTGTAATAATATAGCAAAATTTCTAACGATTTTAAAAAGAGAAAAAGAAAAAAAAAATTTAGAATGAGATTTTTTAAAAGGAGTTGTTGTAGATAATGTATTGGCATTGCTTTGAATAGATAACAGCCCTGTAACTATTCTATGTTAACTACAATACATTCTATTGATGGTGAAGAAAGTAGAATTAGTAGAGAAAGAAGAAGGCCAAGAGAGACAAGCACTAATAGTAGAAAAATAAGTCAGTATTTGGAGAATCTGCCTGAAAAATTTTACCTATTCCAAAAGCTATTGATAATTACAACTATTTTATAGGAGGTGTAGGTATAGCAGATCAGTTACGCAGTTATTATTCAATACAACTAGTAGTTTATAAAACATGGATGCCCTATTTTTTTTGGTTATTAGATATGTCTATTATAATCTTATTTTTTATATGCAAAAAATTAGAAATATGTACAAATCATAAGGACTTTAGACTAGAATTAGTGCAAAATTTAATCACAGATGTAGTAGCAAATCCTTTAAAATGTGCAACAAGAAGTCAAGATCAAAATCTAGTCAATTTAGCTAAAAAGAAATGAATAATCCAAAAAAGATAAGAATATCTGAAAATTTTGAATTGCCATTAAATAGATTCATCGATAGAAACCATTTTCCAGAATACAACAGAAGAGAAGCCTGTTTGTAGTGCCGCTTTATTAGAAAAAAAAATAATCAACCACCTTTACAAAATCCTCCTCAGTCTAACTTAGGGTATAGCGAATGTAGTGTACCATTATACTGTAACAAACAGCGTCATGCTTTAAAGAGTTTCATACTATTTCTGAATAAAAATGGAATTTTATAGGTGCATTAAGATTTCATGAAAGAATTCATTGCTTGATAAGCATATATGAAAAGTCACCAGCAGATTTAAATAGATAATTAGAAATTGAGTCAAATAACTCGATATAAAAAATATTCAAAAAATAACTCAAAAATAGACAAATTAAAAATGTTGATTACATTAAAGAATCTCAATTTAAACCTTTTAATAGATTGAACAACTTGGAAAAGGTTATAAAAGAACTAAACTTTAAATTTTTAGCAATTTTATAGCCAGATAGTGTAAATAAAATTATAGCATTGTGAAAAATCGCACTTAGGACTTTTTCAGGTAGTATTTTAGCAGGGAATAAATGGGTAAAGATAAATAAATTTTGATTTTTTTTTTGAGGCCTTCTAATCATATGTGATATTGTATAATCAAACTAAATTGTTTTGATATAATCTATGATTTAGTTAGTGATTTCCAAATATTCATATATATAATATAAATTGCAGTATAAAGAACAAAAAAAAAAAAAAAACTAGTATTGCCTTATGAAAATCATATATTTCAAGAAAAACTGTAATGTACAGTATTAAATCTAACATAGGTAATTCATTGGTTGTGAATTTTGGCTTCTAAGCAATGTTTGCCATGGATTGCCGTAATCAAGGTCAAAACCACTTTGTTTAACTCCTGTGTCATTCATCTAATAAATAAGAGCTATGGTTACTATTTGTCTCCAACTATTACTCTGATAGAAGTTATAATATCTAGAATATTTAATATTTACAGGACCACTGTAAAAATTTAATTTTTGATTGTTTTTCCTCTTCTTTATCTGATTTTATTTGACCTTGTCATCATTGTCATCATCTTAAGCTCCTAAAAATATAAACTAGAGATTAAAAATTGAAAAAAGAATCTTAAAATATATATATATATATATTACAGCAAAATAATCTTAGATCATTTGAGTACTGCAAAGTGAAAACCTGAAAGTGAATATTTAAATTTTCACTATAGCGAGTTTATTCCAAAAAAATTGTGGCATTATGTAACTTATCATATTTTACTGAAATTAATAGAGCTCTGTGAGCTAGCTCAATAGCAACTTAAATATTCACTCCTGTGTTTTCATTCAGCAGCACTCATTTATCAAGGAAGGAACAGAGATATATACCAATTATTCTCAAATAATTCTGCATTATTGATTCAAAAATAAATTCTTCAGAAACTAAGTGAACATTTTTATTAAAATGCACTATTTCATCAATCTCATCAGAATTCTTATTTCCTCTAGATTAACCTTACCCAAACCATGGCCATTACTCTTAGGTGATCTGCTAAAATTCAAGAATTAGCTTTTTAACAATTAAAATGTTCAAAACCAGGCTTTGATCAATAATTGTAATTACCTATAAGAACTTGAACTCAGAAGTTAACAGTAAAGAACGTGAGTAAATGGTATGTATACTTTTTTTGTATCCTGGAAGTTTAATGCACTTAGTTCATTTTCATAGATCATATGTATCTCTACATTGAGTATGAAACATTGTACAAAATTAGTGATAATTCACCAGAACACTGACTAAATTTAAATGTTGTAATAATAAAGATCATAGAAGGCAAGTCATGCAAGAGAACTACATTAATAAATATATTGTATAAGTTGGTATTAAAAAAAATTGTATGTTTAATAAGAATTTTTTAAAAAAATCATTAAAATTTACAAAAACTTTACCAATTTAGTCTAACTAACATTAATTTTCAGAGTCGCCAAAAGAAGAAAAATATATTACCAGTATAAAATTCGAAACATAAGCTATTTAAAAATTTAATTTATTTGTGTATCATTATATGGTTTAAAATTTCAGATGAGACTTGAAATATCAGTAATTTAGCAGACAAATTTGCCTGCTACGATCTACAGATTAAGAGATAAATATTGTTATTATTCCTACTTTAGAGTACAGAATACATAATATTGTTCTTAATTAATTTTATACAACAAAATCTTCTAACAACATATTAATCTTATTAAACACAAAGCTAAGCTTTGCTACTCTATACTTACAAGCATCTTATTACATTCTTATATATACAATATTAAAAATATTTAGGATATCCAACTTCAACACCATATTTCAAACTTTATTAAATGGCTCAATAACAAATCTCTTCTAGATATTTCTACCCAAATCAGAATTCAATAACTTCAAAATAACCTCTAGTCTGCTACTAGTGTTTTTTCTTATTCAAATTCTATCATTGATGGCCCCATCTATCTTACCACTATTTTAAAATAATATAGCTTCTTCAATATCTAAACTGGACTATCAGTCCAAGTTCTGACAAATATTTCTTTCACAGTTTATGAAGGTTCTATTACATTAGAATCTATACTATCATCACACCCCAAATATTCTACCTTCAAAAAACAACTTTGGCATCATTATATTCTCTTCTTAAATCAACTTACTTCTACTAACAACTTCTATCTCCTTGACTAAAAACATATATCTCCAAGACTTAACAAAATTCCTAAAGAGAAAATTCCTCATTGGTTTATATTGCTTGAAAATTCTATCATTGATTCTTTACACAACTGCCTTATTTTTAGGCAACTTAATCTTTTATCTACTAACTACTATAGCTACTGTACAGGTTATTTTCACAAACACTCTAAGCCCTGGCTCTTAACTTTTTACCATAACCAAGCTATTATTGGCAAAGCTCATCACCAAGCTACAAACTCTG